AAAACAAACAAACAAAAAAACCATACTTCATTCTGCCCAACATTAAAACTAACCAGGTAAATAAAAGTACAGTCCTCCATCAGCCCCTCCTTCAAATCTAAGTTCATTTAACAGGAAACATTTTTGCCGGTCTGAAATATATATATGCAATCTGAGGCTAAGAAAACCAATTTCTTTGGGCATGGATTCTCCAAGGAATTCAGAAGCCAGGAGCTGTCAGATACAAGGCTGTGAACTCTTTCAGACAAAATGGATTCATTAACAGGAACAGAACAATTCAACTTGCTTTCATCTCTCCCTGCTTGGGACCATGTCTTAAAAGAGTCGTGGTCTGGCTTTTCTTTTGCAGAAGTATTAAAGACAGCACAAATTAAAACCATTTCCCAAGAGCCCCCAGCAGGACTGACCTTCCACCAAAGATGTCAGCAGGGTCACGTGAGCAGCTTTCCGTCTCCCTGCTGGAAGGTTCAGACCGATCTTGTCTAACTTCTCCCTCAGAGATCGTCCTCCATTTTTGGACTTGGCTCTAGGAAAAAGAAAATTGGCTACTGTCAATAAAACAAAACACTCTACCCTTTGACTATTGGGCCTTCCTAGCACTAGGTGCTCATGCCTGTAATCCTAGCTACTCAAGAGGATGAGACCTGAGGATCATGCTTCAAAGCCACCCAGGTAGGAAAGTCACTGAGGCTTTTATCTCCAATTAATCACCAAAAAGCCAAAGTGGAACTGTGGCTCAAGTGGTAAAGTACTAGCCTTGAGTCAAAAAAAAAAAAAAAAAAAAAAAGTTCAGGGACAGTGCCCAGACCCCACAGTTCAAGTACCAGCACACACAAAAATAAAACAATAAAATAAACTCTACCTTCTAAAGTTGAAATCTGTCAGGCTATTTCAATTTGTAATTTTTAAAAATATGTAAAATTAAAAACAAACCTTCTACCACCCCTTTTATTTTCTGATGAGCACAAAGCATACATTTTCAACTTAGAAAACCGTACCTACCCCCCATCTCCCTGTGTGTGTAGGGGGGGGGGGAAGCCTCCCTTCTCAATACAGATGTTAGCCCATAAAATTGAATCCTAACCAGATGATAATTTGTTAGCATCGTTTTAACACTTCCTTCTGCATTTGGCACTTTCTAAAAGAGAAGGAGTGTACTAAATCTCTCGCTGAGCCGATTAGAATTCAGCGTTAGGCATACAAGTTACATAAACGTTAAAAATACCTCCCAGGTTCTCTATACATTCACCTTCAACTACCCAAGTGCAGACCGCAGGGCCCCCCAGTACCTTCTGAGCACGCCTCCCAAGAGCGAGGCGTTCAAGCACTCGGGTGGGGAGAGCCGCCGCTGCACTTCGGCCACCGTCACTTTGTATTTGGATGTGGAACTGAGGAGGGACAATCTTCCCGGGACAGAACAGAAGACCTCGCTGGGGTTCATCACAGCCCCCACCAGCTCCTTCTGACAAGGCAGACCCAGTGGGTTCTTGGTCATGGAGATGGGGCCTGTTGAAGAGAGACCAGCCCTGGAGGTCACCAAAGCCCAGTCTCAGCAGTTTTTTTCCCAACCAGGAATGGGCTAAACTAAGTGGTTTTCCGACAAGAAACCTCCTATGTTGGACTACAGGCTCCACACCGCCAGGTCTTTTTCTTATTTCCTTTTCTTATTTCTAAGTCATATTCGTTCTTCAAAGATAAATCAAATGTGAAATTCACAAGTTAACACCTTGCAAAGTTAATTAGTCAAGATCCCAAGCATGTTTTTTTTTTCCCACCCAGTTCCTGGCTACCTCTGTAATCTGCTTAATTAGAACATTTGCCTTCAGAAGCCGCTTCAATACCAGCCCCACCCCCTGAGAATCCCTGAACTAAACCCACAGGATTCAGACCCTGCTCCCAAAAGCCTTCTGTAGAAGTGCTCTCATTAACACCCATTAATCCATTCAGTTTAAGTTTACTGGGAAATTTTATTTTCCAAATTTCTCCCCAGCCTTCACAAGCAGTTTGATTCCATATCACCAACCTTAACTACTTTTAAGAGTATCCATCCATCTTTCCACCCAAACAGCCAGCCTGACAGCACAAGAACTCAATTTCATGAACCACTCGCTCAAGGGTAATACCATTTTTTTTTCATCCCTTGCTCCCAACAAAAACCAGCAAGGGGGCGGGGAGACGGATCACGAGCCCTGGTCCCGTTGCAGTTTTTTGTTGTTTTTTGTTTTTTTGGTAGGCCAGACTTTCCCAAAACCTTTGATCCACACAGGTCAGAATTAGGGGTCCTCTCAAAATTCATCCTTGAAATCACGAGTGGGGGGAAAAAATCACACCCACTCAATCAACCATTAAGAACTGTCACAGACCCAATCATTCCCGGGGAGGTGGTTGCCAATGGATTTCAGATTAATGAAATCACCGTGTGAAACCTCCGGCGGGCTTTCCCCGGCGGCGGAGCCCCTCCCCCACGCCGAGGGTCCCAGTTCCCAGGGGAGGCGAACCTCGCGAGCCCCAAGTCCCTTAGCCCGGGAGCGAGGGAGCGAGGGAAGGGGTGCGGGCGACCCGGCGCCCGGCACTCACGCGGATCTCGATCCAACCCCCCGATGCAAAAATAAAAGCAATCTCTAAAGCCTAGTTGGTTTTGTTTTTAAAAAGCTTCCAAGGACCCCCCTGGTCTGCTGCGCTTCAGGGCAGAAAGGAGTTGTCGCGTGCCACTTCCCCAAGCCTGGTTTCCTCGAGGGCGCGGTCGCACCACTCCACGACACCAAGTGCCCCCCCTCCCGCGGCGCAGGAAACTCCTCGGGTTACCTTTGCGGATGACGGTCTGGTCGTGGAGGAGAAGATGCTGGTCGTCCACATTCTGGGAGGAGAAAGAACAAAGTTTGCTTTAGGTTTGGTTTGGGGAGCTCGGGGAGAGGGGATCCCCGGGGCAGGCGGGCCCCGGGGGCGTGCGGGCGTGCGCTCACCTGCACCTCCTCCATCTGGTGCGCCACGTCGTGCAGCCCCAGGTTCTCGGCCAGGCCCGCGGCGTCGAGGGCGTGCGCGTGCGGCAGCAGCAGCTCGGAGCGGCGGTAGGCATCCCGGCGCGCGCCTACCGCTCCCGCGTCCAGCCCCGCGAGGTGCGGCAGCAGCGCGGCGGGGCGCCCGTGGTGCGGGGGCAGCCCCGCCCCGTCCTGGCCCTGGCGGCCCGGCCAGGCCTGCTGCTGGCTGCCGGTGGGCGCAGGTTGGTGCAGAGGATTGATGGCGGCGGCGTAGGCTTCGCCCAGGTGCGAGTAGGGATCGGCCGACTGCGAGTAAGCCAGCTGCTGGTAGGGCGGCGGGAAGTAGGGCGGCGGCTGGTACTCGGAGACGCCCGTGTGCGACAGGGGCGGCGCGGGGCTGTAGAGGTGCTGGCCGGCCGAGGACAGGTGGGGGATGCGCGGGTTCCCATTGCTGCTCGCGTCGTGGCGATCCTGGGCGGAACGGAGAGAGGAGACCCGGTTAGTACGAAAACCTCGGTACGGCGAACCCGCCAGCCCTGCGCGCGCCGCTGAACTCGCCGGGCCCGCCGCGCGCCGGCCCCCGGGGGCGAGGCGCCCGGGGGACTCGGTCGTAAAACGGCGACTCCCGGGAGGAAGAGGAGGCTGCATTAAGACCTGGGAGGACAAATCCTCCACGCCCCGCGGCGCGGATCTCCGCGCCATGAAGCCGGAGGCGCTGGCAGACATCGACGCCGATCCCCGGGTGTCGGGGCGGGAAAGGCCGGCGGCGTCCCGGGAGGAAGCCGGGCGGCAGTGAACCCCGTGCCGCGCGCGCTCGCTCGCCAGCCCGCACGTGTTGCCCCGGCGCAGCCGGCAGGAATAGTTCAAGGGCGAGGCTGGCTCGCGCCTCCCCCGCCCCAGGGAACCTCCCTTCCACGCCCTTCGGGCAAAGACCTCGGGGCAGGGGACGCTCGCGGGCGGTGGCAGCGTCCCAGCGCCGCCCGAGGGGCTCCGGGAGGAACCCGCTGCGGCCCGGGGCTGCGCTCTCCAGCCCGCGAAGCCAGAGCGAAGGAACGCGAGGCGCGATCGGCCACGGTCACAGTCCCCCTACCCCAGCCAGGGCGGAGACCCCGAGGCCCGGGCCACGCGCCCCAACTTAACTCCTGAAAGATATGTCCGCCGAGTCTCCCGGGTCACCAGGGTAGCGGGGAGCCCGCGGGAACACGGTGCGGCCGCCCCCTAGCGGGAGTGCCCGGCCACGCCGGCGGGGGGCCGCCCCCCTCCGGGTCCGGGGGCGCCGCGCGCGCGCTCGGGCTTGCCGGCCGCCCCGGCTCCCCGCTCCACGCGCCCCGGCGCTCGCCGCCCGCCCGCGTCTTCTTCCTCTTCCCGCTCGCCGCCTCCCTCCCGCCTGCGCTCCGAAACTCCAGCTCAACCTGTCCGACAGGCTGGAGCACTCGCGGGGCGGACGGCCCCGTCGGGCCCCAGCACCCCCAAAGGCGCCCCAGCCCCCACTTCGCCGGAGAGCCAACCGGGCTTCCGTTGTTCTCCTCCGGCCTCCCCGAGGAGGTAGCGGGGCAGGTGACGGGCCCGCCCCGGAGGAGCCCCGAGAAGGTGTCGCCGGCAGGTAAGTGGCCAGCCTCCTCCCGTGACCCTCTGGACGGAGACGTCCGGTGAGAAGGCCACGTCTAGGATCGCAGAGCGGAGCTCCTGTGGGAGCCCGGGAAGAAGGGCGGCGCGCTCCGAAGGCAGCCGGCTGGTGAGCTTTGTGGGTGGGATCTGCCATTCTGCCCAGGCCCAGAGCCGGGCACCAGGAAAGGACCAGTACGCGACCCCCCTCCCCCGAACTGGGCTGCGGGGTGTCCGGAGGACTAGACTCCGGCCGGCCGGCCGAGAGGCGAGGGCGCCGGCGCTCCCGTCCCCGACCGCGAGCGGTGGACCCCCGCCTCCCGGATGGCACTCGGGCGGGGCGGGGCTGCCCCCCCTGCGCCCCAGCTCACCTCGCAGTCCTCTTCGTATTTGACATTATCGGTTATTTTCCACAACATGGCGTCCGGAGTCCCCCAAAACAGTCGCCAGTTAAATCCAGGCTCCCCCCACCCCCCGAGCGGTAAATCCAAAATCGGGGTCACGGTGTCCGGGCGTCTGCCGCCGCCGCGCGGGCCCCGCCGCCGCCGCCGCCGCGGTCACTGGCTGCGCATCGGCGGCTCCGAGAACGTGGATGCGGCCACTGCGGGGCGCGCGCGCGCGGAGCCGCTGCCGTGGAGCGCCGAAGCCGCGCCCGCACCGTGTGTCCCCGCGATAGCCGGGGGACCCGAACGCCTTAATGAGAAGGAAATTATCATAACTCCTCCCCGGGGGCCGGCGGAGGCCCGGGCGGGGCGGGGCCGCCCCCAGCCAGTCCCGGCGAGCTCCGCCCCGCACCCCGGCTGGGCGTCGCGCGCCGGGGCCCCACGCCGCTCGGGGCGACGCGGGAGCGCGGTGGGCGGCGGGCGGCTCGTTGAAAACTCCGAGGCCCGGGAACCGCGACGCGTCCTCCTCGGCCAGTCCCATCCCGCACACACCTCAAGATGCGCTGAACCGGGAATCCAGATCCCAAAGCCCCGAGATCCTCTCTGCTCGCCCGGCATCCCAGCCCCCTTAGGCCAGGAGATGTCACCTGGAGGTGGGGTCCTGGCATCCGGGGGTGGTGTCTCAGCACCGGGGCTCCTCACCCCCAGGACACTTACAGAGTGGGCTGGGGTCGCGCGCGGTACAAGCCCTAGCCGGGCAGAGGCGCCCCTGCCCCGGCTCCCTGGACCCTCCCCTGCCAGCCCGGCCTTCTTGCGGGCTTTCTGCCCCGGAGCGCGGAAATCAGGCGGCTGTGCCACGGGCTCGGAAGTGGAGACAACGGTGTGTCGGTGTCCACGCTGTGGCACGGAGCTGCGGAACGTGGCCAGCCTCCGCCCTGCCCTGCTACCCAGCCTAGCCCTGCCCACGGCTGGTTAGCCTTAGAGGTCCGAGCGCCCAGCGCTTACCCAGGTGCAGTGAGGAGGGACGGGGAAGGGGAAAAGGGGCTGCGGAGCCGCCTCCCCAGAAGTGGGGATCCGCCCCCTGAAGGTGGGGACCCAAACCTCCTTCTACCGCCTCCTTCCCGGCCCACTTGGGACGCGTGAGCGGGAAGGAAACGGCGGGGGTTCGTTTGTAAATGTTAAGGAGACGAAACCCCTTGGCCGGATTATTGTCGTTGTTGTTGTCCTTGCAGGAGGGGGTGGGGAAATGCTCGTGCTGGGGAGGAATCGGGCTGGGTCGTCCCAGCCGCGCCCCCCGGCTCCCCGCTGGGTTCCGACCGTCCGCCGGTCCGGGGAGGGGATTGTTTGGATTCGAAGCTGGATCCGACTTTGCGATCTCAGTACAGCGCCCGGGAGCCCGGAGTCCCTGCGCTCTGCAGGATGGCGACTGACCGCCTTCCCGTCCCCGCTCGGACTGGTGCGAGCATTTCTTTAGCCCCAGATGGCCTAAAACAAAGTAAGAACTAAGATAAAAATAGGTGTGCTCCTAGAGAAGCGTCGCCCCTCGCTTGGATATCAGCCACGAGCAAGACGGTTATTACCAGGCGGCTGTTGAAACCACCGGGGCTACTTGCCCGGCCGAGGGTGACCCTCGCCCCTGGCCGGCACCTCCCGGGGGCCTGGGGGGCGGAGGAGCAGCAGGAGCCCCGCTCCCCGCGCTCGCGCGAGAGAATGGGGAGGAGGGGCACCTGTCCGAGGCTGTCCGAGAACTGCACCTGGCCCGGCCGGCCGGCTAGGGCCGGAGCTGGGACGATTGGGGTCCCCGACCCCGTGGAGGTGGTGCGGCGCCTCCTCCGGGCGCCCCACCGGGCTCTGCTCCAGTCCTGGGGCTTTGGGCCGAGCCGCGGGTTTCCCCCTCTAAGACCCGATCTGGGGTGCAGTGTTAGAAGCTGTCCGGACTGTGCCCCCCAGCTTCGTCCCCGGCGGTCCGCGGCCAGGGGCGGACGGGACGTGGTCACTCGCACCCCGCCAGTCCCGAGCTGTCCTTCCTTCCCGGGACGCGCTCGCCCAGGCTGCCCCGAGGAGCGGAGCCGCCTCCCGGCCCGGGGCGCGCGGCGGGCCGAGGGATTGGTGGGCACCGAGGGTCCGCGCCGCTCTGGGGATCTCCCGGGGCCCAGAAGCGTTCGCTCGGGGAAGGCCGCACCGACGATCGCCGTCGTGCCGGGAGCCTGCACGGCCGGGGCCGTCCGAAGGCTCGCGCAGCGCCGGTGTTCGCAACCCCGGCCTCTGGTGAGCCCAGATTCTCAGCTGAAAGCGGGAGCCCACGCCTGGAGTACCCAAGACAGACCCCACCGCCCCCGAGGCCGCGGGAGCCCCTGGTGCCGGCTGGACCCCCGGACGCCGCCTCCTCCTCCGGGCTGACAGAAGTGGACGGACCCGGATTCCCGCCCGCGGAAACCGAGGCGCGGGGCGGCGGCGCCCGGGCTCCGCTGTCGCCCCCTAGGGGCCCCGCAGCCACTCACACCCTGGGAGCCGGGGCCCCGCGGCCCGCAGCCGGCTCCCAGCCTCGACTTGGCCAGAGGACCCAACCAGGCCCGAGCCAAGGGTGTCAGCAGCGCCCCGCCTGCGCCCGCGTCACTGTGCGGGGCCCCGAGGCCCCCGCCCGCACCCCGGCCCGAGGACGCCGCCTGGCGGGGAGGGCCGGCCGGGGCCGGCCTTCGACTCTGACCCAAGGGGCGCCGGGGCGGCAGGTGGAGGAGCCGCGTGCCCGGCCTCGTCCCCCCGCCTAGGGTCAGCCCCGGCTCCGAGAAGGACCTGGGTCCGTGGCTTGCTGTCCAGGCCCAAGAGCCCGGGCCAGAAGCGGAGGCGAGAGGAGGTGGCCCCTCTCCCCCGGACACCCTGCAGGCCTCAGCACTGAGCCCACGGCCCGGGGCTCCGAGATACCATCCTGCATCAAAATTCCCCACGCAGGGGCGCGGGAGGCCGCGCGGACACCCTCCCGCCCCGCCCAGTCCGTCGGCTTCGCGCCACGCCAGGCCCGGGCAGAGGTAATAAATCCCTCTCCACAAACACGCGAGGAGCCCGCAGAGGGCGCTGGGCTGGGCGGAGGGCACTCGGGGCTCCCCGGCTTCCGGGGGGCCGCCTCCCCGGGGGGTCCCAGACCCGGCCGCTGCCCCTTCGCCGGCGCCAGTCACTCTGGGAGCTCCAGGCCGCCGACGTGGCCTTGACCACCACTCCGCCCGTCTCACGCCGTCTGAGGAACAGCGGTCACGTTCGCCCCGGAGTGCGGCCCCCTCCCCGCCGGCGTGCGGGGATCGGGGGTCGGGGATCCGCTAGGAGACGCGCGGGAGCGGCTCGCCCCGCTCTGCCCCGGGAGGTCCCCGGTTCCCTCGGGGAGGCAGAGCGCCCGTCACCTTCCACCAGCGTCGGTTACGCTCGGGGGCTGCGGGGTGTCCCTGGAGGCCTGCTCCGCCGGGGTCTAGGGTCACCAAGCACCTCCGGGCCAGGTAGGCCCGGGGGGCCTAAACTCACTTATCTCGGTCGCCGCCAGGCGAAGAACAGGCCCACGGAGGGCAGGCTTTGCTTTCAGCACCCAGGCCGGGGCGACAGAATTTGCCCGGAGCCTGCGCGCACAGGGCGCCCCGCGCGCCCCCCGCCCCGCCCCGGCCCCCCGGGGCGCCCATCCCGCCGCCCGCAGCCTGCGGTCCTCCGCCGGCCTCGCCTCCCGGCCACCCGCACGCCTCTCCTCACCCTCAGGAACTGGAAATTCATGTCGCCAGCTCCTCCACTCCAGCCGGCGGGGACTTCAGAGCCGAAGCGACGCCGGCCGGCCAGCGCTCCCTCGGGGCCGAGTCCTGTGCGAGTAGCGCCGGCCGGGAGCAGTTTATTTCGTAGAGGGGTGGGGGAGGGGGAGGGGAGGGGGAGGGAGGGAGTCCCAGCCGAAACCGGCCGCGCTGATTGGCGGACACACACCTGGTGGGCCCTCCTCCCCTCGTCCCCTGCCCTCCCCCTCCCGTGGAACCTGTGCACTCCCCCTGGGAACAGGAAGAGGGTCTCCGCCTGGGAAGAGACGTGAACTCCCGCGTGAAATCTACGTCTTCCCAGCCAAGGACGCTTTAAAGCCCCATCACGCCGGAACCATCGATATTTCTGCGAATTCTCAGCTGTCGCAGGAATGAAGTCACAGCTAGAAACTTTGATCTGACTTGGGGGACCTAAGCGGGAGGCCACCGAGCAGAGGCGGTGACAGAAAGTTCGAGGCAGGGTACCTGGCTCCCCGACAGCAAGACACAAGTACGAGTCCTGTGAAATGCTAGCTGGGAAGGAGGGCCGGCAGGAGGGAGACGCCCTCCCCGACTCCCTCAGGCCAGCAGGGGAAGTTGGACTAGTGAGCCCACTGCCCTTACGTCCCCAGTTCCTAGTTAGCTGGCACATCCACCCGCCCAGGCGTCCCAAACAGCTCCTTTCCGCTGAGGAGACTGGAAGATGGACCCAGAACACCCAGGAAACAGAAGAGAATCCAGCATCCACCCCCTCCCAGCAGCCTCTTCAGACTCTCCCCTGAGGCCTTCAAAGGCAGGTTTTTGAAATGCACCCTGGGATGTTTATGACCAGCCATCCACAGAAAGAAATGTAAATTTTTATGATGTGAAAAACAGCCATTTAATTACTTTCACAAAAAGGGTTTCCAGCACAGATTTCCAGACATTCTCTAGGCAAAGAACCGGCAAAGCACAAAACCAATCGAAGTGGACCTCTCCTAGCTGGGAGTGTAGTGGGTGTGTTTGTTTGAGTGATGTTTGTTTGTTGTGCTGACCAGCCAGGCCAAACCCAAGCTAAGCTCCCCTACCCCACCCTACCCAGTCTTGAGTGAGTTGCTTTCCCAGGATTTGATCATTGAACAATCTGATTTTGTTTCTAAAGCAAATTCAGGGAGTCTCTAGCTCCTGGGAGAGGAGTAGGAAATGTTTAATTTCTTCCTCAGTCTCTCCTTGCCTAAACCCTGTTATACTCAAATCCTTGCTAACACACACACACACACACACACACACACACACACACACACACACACACATATCCGGGAAGATTTTCTAGAGTAGAGCTGATGGCTCATGGCTGTAATTCTAACTGCTCAAGAGGCTGAGATGAAGAGGATCTTAATTTGAAGCTACAACCAGGGAGAAAAATCTAAGATACTTGCGTCTCCAAAATAACCATCAAAAAGCTGGTTATTGTGAAGAGGCTCAAGTGGCACACACACACACACACACACACACACACACACACACACACACACGCTCCTCAGGTTGGCAGTCTCCTAGGTTGTCCTGTGAGGCACAATGTGTTTTTGTGGTGTTAAAAGTTAAAAAGTAGTCCGTATACCTGTGGCTCACGCCTGTAATCCTAGCTACTCAGGAGGCTGAGATCTGAGGATCGTGGTTCAAAGCCAGCCTGGGCAGGAAAGTCTTATCTCCAATAAACCACTAGAAAACCGGAAGTGATGCTGTGGCTCAAGTGGTAGAGTGCTTGCCTTGAGCTGAAGAGTACAGGGACAGCACCCAGACCCAGAGACCAACAACAACAACAAAAAGTTACAAAGTAGACCATTAAAGCCCAAGTCAGTGCTTGCTTGCCTGCTATAAAGTTGTTACCACTTGACCCTGAGCCTGGCCTAAAGCTGGGTTTCACAAAGCAAGGGTGCAGGTGAGGGGAATGGACCGTGTGGAATGGTAAGAGCTCTGCTGTGCGGTACCTGGTTCCACCACTACCCCCACCCCAGGTTAAGAGCTCTGGGATGTGGCCCAGCAGCCTGTGCCCCCGACTCCTGACTGGTGTGGTTGATGTTTGCAGATGGGGGCAAAGGTGGAAGCCACTGCTATGGAGTGCACACATGAGGATGTTGGAGGCCAACCTGAGCTCACAGTAGCCAGGCTGCCTAGAGGGGGGGGGGGGGCTGCCTTTCCCAGGATGCACCTGTCCCTGGTGGCTTGTGTCTGAGGTTGAGACTGGTTGGTCCACCTGAATTGCTGCTGCCCCTCTCAGACCTGCAGGGTGGTGAACCCTGCCGAACTAGGCTGAGGACCTGGGTCGCGTGGAGTCACTCCCTGCGTGCCTGTGTGGGGTCACACGGTATTTGCACGTGGTTGTCACAGGAACCAGACTGGCTTCCGAATCCCATTTCTCTGCCTAACCAATGGACCTGCAACACCCGGACCTCCTCACCCCCCCCCCATCAGCCAGGGACACCGCCCCCCATCAGTCACATTGACGACCCTCAGCAAAGGGCTGTCGGCAAAACCAGAGGAGCTCTGAGATTTATCAAGGTGGGTGAGGCATGAGGCATCGGTGCCTGCAAACTCAGGGGCGCTCGCCTAGAACCTCAGCACTTGGGAGGCTGAGGCTGGGGGATCTCAACTTTGAGGCCAGTCTGGGCTGCATACATAGTAATGAGACCTAGTCGAGACAAATACATAAACAAATAAGGAATCCAGCGTATTAAAATAAAAAAAGGCAGCTGGGAACGTGGCTCAGTGGTAGAGTGCTCGCCTAGCATGCATCAAGCCCTGGGTTCCACTCCTCAGTACCACACACACAGAAAAAGCCACAAGTGGCTCAAGTGGTAGAGTGCTAGACTTGAGCAAAAGAAGCTCAGGGACAGTGCCCGGGCCTTGAGTTCAAGCCCCAGGACTGGCAAAAAAAAAAAAAAAAAAAAGCACTCTGCCCCATCAAACACCTGAATTTGCTTAGGGAAGGTAAGTGACAAGAAATGACAAGGAGGGAGGAAGAGAAGGGGAGGAGGAAGGAGAAGAGATAAAAGGAGGCTGAAGGAAGGGGAGAGGAGTAGGAGGGATGAAAGGAACAGAAGGGAGGGAAGAGGGAGGAAGAGGAAAAGGGAAGAGAAGGAGAAGGAGGAAGAGAAGGGGAGGAAGAGGAGAAGGGGAGGAGGGAGGAAGAGAAGGGGGAGGGGGAGGAAGAGAAGGGGAGGAGGGAGGGATGGTGAAGGGAAAGGAAGACGGGCTGTGGAGTAGCACCCAGCTGCACCAGCCCGTGGCGGCCGGCCGGGGAGGATGATAGTCCAGCGGGCGGAGCAGACCGGCTGGGCCCGGGCTGGGGAGCAGGGGCTGATGGGGATGCTGAGATCCTGCGGGTGGAGCCGGGCTGAGGCTGGAGGTGGGTGGGGCTGGGACAGGGGAGAGCCTGCAGGAATTGGGGAGTCCAGATGCCCAGCCATCCACCCCAGGGCCACCTCCACTGTGGAGCAGGGGAACTCCGCTGGTGCCCAGAATGACATCACGGGGTGGGGCACCTGGTGCCCTGTGCTGGGGGGCTGCCAGGGGACGGGGTGCTCCAATCCTGGCCTGGGAAGCCCAGAGTCTTCAGGAGACGGCCCACAGACAGCACGGGCTTGCAACCACAGGTCAGAAAGCCGGTGAAGAGCCGAAGTGTGGGGGTGGGTGGGGAGCAGGGCAAAGAGCTGCCCAGGTAAAACCCAGTGCCCAGCTGCGATCTGGCCTGTTGAACGTGATAGAACAAAAGAAAAAGGCAGCTAGAAAAGTCCCCCAACTTTCCCAGCGCGCCAAAGCAGAGATAAACGCTGCTCTCCGGAGCCGGAGCTGCGTGCTAGATGATGGAGAAGATAAAGCCCAGGGCTCGGGAGCCGGTCTGGATTGCACGTGACTTTTTGTTTTGTTTTGAAACTGGGTCTCCTTTCAAAGCTGAGTCTAGCCGAGGAGCCCGTCGCGGGCCGAGCCTGGAACTTCAGGGATCTGGACCTCACGCCCTAGCTAAACACGACTTTTAATAACAATAGCGAAGTCCTTGCCTTCCCCAATTGGCTTGGAGTGTGTAAACGGCGTGAGTGCCAGCCCGGGAAGAACGCTGTCTCCTGACACTAGGGTAGCGCTGGGGAAGGCTCCTTGGGCTGATTTGAATGTAGATTTACTTCCTTTCTTATCCCAGCTCTCCTTTTGTGTTTCCTCTTTCCTTTCTTCTCCTTTGCAAGCTGTCTCTTGGCCAGGATTTTGCTCCTTTGTTGGCTGGATTAAAATGTAACTAACATTAGCATTTTTAAAACATTTATTTGACTTTTTCTTATGCACCTTGATGCCTTGTATTTCTACTTTAGGTGTGTCCTGTATGATAGTTGTTTTTTTTTCTCTTTTGTGCCTTTACAGAGGCTGAAACGAAAGGCCTCCTGTATTTTTTCCACTCAAGGCTGGTACTCTACCACAGGAACCACGCTCCACTTCCAGCTTTTGGCTGGCAGTTGAAGGTAAGAGTCCTCTTGGTGTTCCTGCCTGGGCGATGTTCAAACGGCAATGTTCATATCTCAGCCACCAGAATCAGGGGCCTCTTACTTAGGTCTCTTCCGTGAGCAATTTCATTAGATCCCACACACAGACTCCATAAAAGGTGAGAGCAGTACTCGAAGGAACCCAGAAATGTTGTGACTTAGCCTTTGCACCCGCAGGTGGTGAAGGGCTGAAGGAGTCGCGGGGGCCACCTGGAGCCTGTCTGGTATGGCTGCACACTGAGTATCTGAGTCCTGTTGTCTATTAAGATCACCACAGGCCCTGTGAGAGCTGGGCCTGCAGGGGAAGGCCGGGGGAGGAGTTCTGTGGCCTATTCTGTGCCCCTGCCCCTCCCCAGGAAAGATGCCTAGAAGTGGGATGGGCAACCCGAGCACAGCGTAGCACAACGGAGTCTCTGAAGAAGTCCCACGCACAGAGCCAGGTGTGGGTGGCCCAAGCCTGTGATCCTAGCCACTCAGGAGGCTGAGATCTAGAGGATTACTCTTTGAGGCCAGTCCAGGTGGAGAAATTCACTAAGACTCCCTCTTCAACATAACCTGCACAAGGCAAGGCCA